CCCTAGGGCCACCCTGGCCCTGCCCTCTGCCAGGTGTAAGGGACACTGGATCTGTGCTAGTCCAGACCATCAAGGTAGGGATGGGGATCCAGTGCCTAAGGAGGAGGGTGAGGGGACACTTCTGGACGAGATGGCCTTTGAGTTGGGTCGTATGAATAGGAGATGTTAGGAAGGACCTCGGTTGTGAGGACAGCTGGACGATGTCTAGGGATAGGTACAGTCACGGTCACATACAGAGCAGAGATCGCAGTCAAGGCTGTGTGGGAACTTCATGGGGACCTGAGCTGGATTGTCTGAGTCAACCCAGGGGGTTCAAGAGCCCTGTGTGCCATGAGGAGTGTCCTGGAGGCAACGGGGAGCCGTGGAGGGATCTGGAGGAGTCACAGGGAACCTGTGAGGAACTCGGGGCTCCTCTTTCTTATTCAGTGGGGCTGAAGGCTTCAGGGAGCCTGTGGGAGCTGCTCAGGCAGGAAGCTCCTGTAGAAGAGGGAGCTGGTGCCTGCCCACCCCAGGGGGTTCTTTGCATCCACCACAGGCTTGGGCATGGGATACAGGTGTGTGGGATCCTGACCCCAGTCCTCTCTGGTCCCGGGCATCCTCAGGTACGCCACGCCACTTGCCTTCTCCACGCCAACAGTCCCTTGTGCCTGAAGGAGGACCCCAGCAGTTCCACCCCAATGGCTAACTGGGCAACTAAACGTTCAGGGTGATAGCGCAGAAGGGTGGCGTTTTATCATTTGGGGTTGGAAGAGGGAGCCTGCCTATGGACTGTGTCCTTTAGGTATGGCTCTGCACCCCAGCTTCTGTGTCTGTGGTAGCCAGGGTGGCAGATGCCTCCCCATAGGCGGGAAGACTGAGAGACCCCTGAGTTACCCCTCTGTGGATGCTCCCTCTGAGTTCAGGAGCACCTGGGGTCTCCACTGCCTACACGCTAGGCTCAGGAAATGGGTTCAGCCAGGGGTTACTCTGCCCCAGCTGAGCCCTAGGGACCATGCCCACTCTGGGGCTGAATGCGTGCTCTGAGGAAGCGGAAACTGGGGCTGGGCAGGCTCTGCTTCAGCTGCTTGCTGAGTGTCGGCAGCCTCATCAGCTCTCAGGGAACCGAACCTCACGCTTCAGGGGGACCCCGTAATGATTGGCCACAAGGAGGTCATTTATATTGGCTAAGCAGGCCTAATTAGGCTTGATCTGAAGGTTAGCAGAAGCTCACAGAAAAGCTGTTAAGGGGTTAACCTCGGAGAGATTACGTTGTATTCAGCGCTCTGTTAAAGTTTGAATTAATTTTTCCCATGGGTTTGCTCACATTCTAATTTTCAACTAAATGAGACATCTGTTTCAGAAAAGGAAAATTTGCTCTGGTTGTCATGGCAACTATCATTCTCTAAGAAAATTATTCCAATGGTTACTTTAGAACAGAAAGACAGGGATTCAGGACATAAAGCTGCCTTCAGCTCAGTCGGAATTCTGATGGGCCACTCTCTGTAGCCACGAGGAGCCTTGGATGGTGAGGCCAGTGGCAGGTGGAGGTGGTGCCAGGCCCATGTGTTGGGTTGGGGTAGAAGCTGGTGCAGGGACTCCTGGGCACCCCAGTATCCTGGCTTGAGCGTTCATAGATGGTATTCTAAAGTTGAATGGCAGTGAGGGCCAGGGCAGGATGGGTGTAGCCTTCCTGGGAAATGCCAGAAAGCCATACAGAGAGCTGGTCACTGTGGCTGTTCAGAGCGCTAGGCTTCCCTGGATACAAAGGGTCAGTGCACCCCAAACAGCACCCCAGGAGGCTCCATTGCAGACTTCACACTGAAGATGGTTCCTCTTTTGTCTCCTGGGTCAGCAGTTACTGTTGGTTGCTGTGTCCAGGCCATGGTGACCCAAAGGCCTTAGTGAGGCCCCTGGAGTCTGCTTAGACCTTGCTGACTATAGCCCAGCACCCAGGGAAAAGCCTCAGAAATATCTTCCAAAAATGCCACTTCAGGCTCTGCCTCCCTCTGCTCTCCAGTGCTAATGGTAGGCAATGGCATCTGGGGCATTGCCTGTGTGCCCACATCCCCCTGCGGTGTCCAGCCATACCCTTGTTAGCCCCTCTTCCTCTGTGTTGCACTTAGCAGGAAATAGTAGCCACCCTTGGGGTTCAAGCCTGGGAGAGGTGAAGGACCGGTCCAGGGCAGAGTCAGTATGACCCTGCTTGGATGGCATCCCAACCTGTCAGAGGGGGCAGACAGCCCCCAGACTTCCAAGAGCTGAGGTCCTTGCTGACTGCTGCCCCTGGCCAGGAGCAAGGCAGAAGCTCACCTGTGCTTTGGGGATGGGAGTGGGGAGTCTCATGGCCCACAGGTGGGTGGGGTAAGATAGGGAGGGAAGGAGAAGCAGAGAACAGGTGGGGAGAGGAAGCGGAACAGTTTGGGGCTAGATACCCTGTTGGGTTTGAGTCACCACAGGCTCTGCCATGAGTCCTGTGTGGTCCTGGGGTGTGGAACGGCTCCTCTGGGCATCCCCATGAGAGAGTCTGTCCAATCTTCCCTCCAGAGTAAGGCTCTGTGGTGCTGGGTGAGGAAAAGCTGGCAGGCAGGGTGGCCTGGGCTGGCTTCCGGTGTCCATGGGCTACCTCCTGTGTTTCTAAGAGCTACCTCTGCAGTGGCTCAGGAGAGCCAACACTAACAGGTGCCTCTTCTCCACACTGATGGGGCTTTGTCCTGACGTATAAATATTTGATTAGCGTTTTGAAAAGTGAAGCCTGTGTTGGGAAGACAGCAGGGAGTCACACATTGTTCCCCATCCTGTGTGTCGGCAGGATGCTCAGTGATTTCCAGGTTGCCATGGTCTTTCTGATCCCCCACCTTGCCCCTTCAGCTGCAGTTCCGAGAATCCTAGTTGGAGATTCAGAAATTGCATACCCCTTGGAATCTGTAGAGAGGGGGCTGCCAGCACCAAACAGGGCCATGGCAGAAAAGGACCCTTACCTTGTTACCACGGTGTGTGACTTGGGGATGGGTGGTCAACAATAACTCTTATCAGCTGAACTTCCCTTCCCGCTCTCAGGTTCTCTGAGGTCTCCTATCCTGCTTCCTCTTTAGAAGTGATCTTGCTAGCCATTGAAAATGCAATTTGAAAAACCCTTTCCTACATAAAACCTTACATCCAGATTTTGTGGGCGGCTTTTAGGAGTGCTCCATGGTGATGGGTGTGATGGTGATGATGGTGGTAGTGGAGGTGATACTGGTGGTGATGATAGTAATAGTGGTTTTCTTGATGAACGATGATGAAGGTCATGGTGGTGGAGGCAGAGATAATAATGGCGATGGTTGTATGGAGGTGATGGTGGTGACCATGGTGATGATGGAGGCAGTAATGTGGATGGAAGTGGTGCCTGAGATGGTCAAGGTGATGGGGATGGTGAAAGTGATGATGGTCATGGCTATGGTGGAGGTGAGGATGGTGACAGGGATGGTGATTGTGGATGTGCGGACTGGATGGTGGAGGTGATGAAGGTAGTGACAGAGGTGACAGAGATCGTGGAGCTGATGGTGACGGAGGTGGTGAAGATGGTGGTGCCATGGCAGGGCACTGAGTTCTCATTGTTGAGCAGACAGTGCCACCTCCATTAAACAGAGAACTCCAGGCACTGAGCTCTGGAGGAGTCAGGTGTTTGCCACTTGTGGTCAATCTCATTTTCTTAAAACTCACCCCTTGTTCAAGTCGCATAGGTGGCAAGTGGTGGACTATCCTGACCTTAGTCAGTTTGACCCCAGAGTCCCCTTGAAGCTGTGTGTAAGTAGCGTGCGTATGTGTGCTGTTTTCTTTCAGAAGAACACTTAGCTTTCTGCAGATGGGCAGGAGCAGGCCTGAGTCAGCATGTCTGAGGGAGGAGGCATCTGACAGGGTCACCTCTGCCTGTGCTGCTCTTAATGGCCAATCCCAGGCTAACCACTGTCCCCTGGTAGACACTTCCCATGTGCAGGGATCCTGTGGCTCGGGTGGCCATTCTGTACCTGGGCCTTGATCCCTGGTTCACCTCTCATCTACCTGAGGTGAGAATCATGGACCCCAGCCCAGGGACAGGGCCACCTCTTCCACTGGAGGCTCAGGAGCCTGCTCCAGTGGGCAGAGGAATCAGGCACAGCCACAGATGCCTGCGACTTAGGAGTCAGGGCTGGGTGGTGGTAGCTGGTGTGTGCTGACTGTCTTTAGCAAGCTTTCCTGGAGGCCTGTGTGATGAGGAGCCAGCCTCAGCTTTGAGGTGCTGGCTATGACACGGTACCAAGTCTGCTCTGTGTCCTGACCACAGTGACAAGACCACAGTATCCTGACCACAGTGACCAAATCACAGTGGCAGGATCAAAGTGTCCTGACCGCAGTGACCAGAGGGCCCTCAGTTCCATTCACCAGCATTTATCTGCCTCCAGGGCTGGTGTCTGACATAGAAAAAGGACCTTTGGACTCCCCCATATGATCCAGAGTGGCCTTCACACGCCCGGGGCCAGCACTACAGGCTTGATGTTGAGAAAAGCAGTCCTAGGTCTCAGAGTGACAGCTCCACAGGCCCCGTGTCACCCAGGTACCTTCCCTTCCTCTGGGAAACACGCAGAGACCTCAGTCTTACAGCTCAGAGCCTACGAGGATAGGATTGGGAGTTCTTACATGGGGTTCTATGGAACCCCTGGAAGTCCTAAGTAGTCATGTTGGTGGCTGCCAACAGTGTAGGCCATCAGTGGGTTCACAGCCATTGATGTCAGCCATGTTGGCCAAGGGTAGGATTCAGGTGGCAACTTTGGGCACACAAGGGAACATGGGGGCAATGCCTGGCCTTACCCAGCTCGTGGTGTGTGCTGGTTGGCAAATTAAAGGGTTGTCTGTACGGCTTGGCTGCTGTTCCTGGAGTCCGCCTCACCCTGGTCTGGCTGCACTGACGGCAGCTGGTCGCCATGGCTGCTTGGCCTTGTACCCTTCTCTCTGACTGTGCCATCCTTAAGACCCTCCTTAAAGTGCCCCGTCTTCTCTCCTAGGCAGCCCTGGTTCTATGGCTGGGGATTCAACCTCCCGCGAGGGCAAGCGCTGCTGGAAAAGTGGAATCTCATCCCGGAAGGTGTTGATATCCTCATAACTCACGGACCACCACTGGGTAAGCTCTGGTTTACTTGCCCAGGCTGGACGGGGTCCTGGAGGATGGAGTGTTTGGTGCCAGGCTGTGCCCAAAGGAGCCCTGGGTTGGTCAACTAGGTCTGACTTGCTGGGGTGCTGCCCTCACCTAGCCAATGTCCCCAGGGCTGAGGACACCACCTCCTGATGTTGCTCCTGGCTGCTGTACCCTAACTCTGAACCTGTTGCTCACCTGCCGCCACTTCCCGGACCCCCTGGCTTCCTGCCTGGCCCCCCCACCAGTCCCTTCTCCTGTTCATCTAACCCACCCCCAGCTCTTTTCTCTGATGCCGCTGTCGCTCCTCCAGGCTTGTACCTTGTGTTGACCACCCTGGCTCCTCTCTGCCCTCCAGTCCTAGGCAGCTGCTCCTTCTCCATTTTCAGTGGAGGACACCTGAAGCCCAGGCCTCTGCTGGGACAGCACAACAAGCTGCTGACCAGGTTGTGCCTCTCTCTGCCAAGGGCCTCCAGGCCATGGGCCAAGTCCTTCCTCAGTTTCATCTGAGTTGTGTGGGTTCTGTGGCCCTCCACCCCCTCATCCTCTATAATTCCTGTTCTTCTCCCCCTTACTTCCTCTGCTTCCTTTTCTTCCCTCCTTCCAGATTTCCTCCTCTTCTTTCCCTTCCACTCTTTTGATTTATCTGTCTACCCATTCATCTTTTTCCATCCATCCATCCATCCATCATCCACCATTTTCATCCAACCATCCATCCACCCACCCACCCATCCATCCATCATCCACCTGCCAATCCATCGATCTATCCATCCATCCATCCATCATCCATCAATTTTAATTCATCCATTCATCATCCTTCCTCCATTCAGCCACCCATCATTACCCATCCTCAATCTTTATCTCCCATCATCCATCCACCCCCTATCAGTTATTCATCTGTCCAGCTGTCAATCATTCATTTACCTATCCATACACTCTCCCACCTGTCCGTCCGTCCATCCATCCATCCATCCATCCATCCATCCATCCATCCATCCATCCATAATTCCACCCTTTGGCTTCCTCTCTCCAGATGCCCTGCCTGGTTACAAAGCACACTGCACGCCTGTTTTGGGAATGCCCGTGCACCAGTGTCCCAGCCGGTTCTAAAGCACTTCCTTTCGGATTGTAGTTGCCAGGGCAATTGGGTGACTACAGTTAGAGACTCCCACCCCCAGCCCTGTCAGCCCACACTGCCACATAAAGATGGGCCTACATGATTCCAGTTCCTAGGGCAGCACTTCTGACAGCTGGATGAAGCCAAGACACGGGGGTATGAACCTGTCTGTGCAAGGTCCAGGAGCTGCAGACCCTAACTCTACCGCGGATCCCAAGCCGTTGCCAATCCTGGCTCTACCGCGGATCCCAGGCCACCCCATCACCCAGTGTCGTGTCTGTCCCCCTTCATTCCCTTCCTCCCTCTCCGCTGGGCCTTCACTCTCTCCTCCTCTTCGCTCCTCTCCTGGGCTGTGCTCTGTCTCTCCCAGCGAAGCTTGCTGGGTGCACTGAGTTGAAGCTCTCCAGCCCTTGCTGGCAGCTCTATAGCGTGTCTCACCCACCCAAACAGAGAGGGGCCGACAGAAACCTGACTGCTCACTCGAGGCATCAATTATTCTTCGTTTGTGTAGCCATGTGAGGATAATAAGCCACCACCATATGGGGCGGCTCCGGGAGGCTGGCGGCCAACAGACACAGCGGGCACCATGAGAGCGTGCCTCAGCCAAGGAAACTAGCTCATGCTTCTGTGCACCCCTTCCCCCGTCTCATGTATCCCAGGCTGGCCTGGCAGTTTTTATGTAGCCAAGGATGACCTTGAACTCATATTTCCACCTCCACCTCCCCTGGGCTGGAATCAGAGCCATGCGCCGTCATGTCTACGAGTACCCAGAGCTCCCTGCCTGATAGTCAAGCGGTCTACCAACAGAGCCATGCTGCAGCTTCTGTGGGGTTTTGTAGAGGACATTTTTGTATTGGAAATCTCCCTCTGAGGCTATGGAGGCTCCACTCTGCTTCCAGCCACTGGGGTACCACAGACTCAGTTTGCTCTTCTCTGCAAATATCTCTCCACACATAACCCTTGGAGCTGCAGGAACAGTCATGGGCTGAGATCTGTAGTGGTTATGTGGTTACCTGGGCCTAGGTACCTGGCCTCCCCTTGGCTCTTGTGAAGGAACCTCTTAGCACAGCCCTGCCCACGAAGGGAAGTTGAGCCTCCAGGAGCTGCCTCATGACTAGGCTTCTCTCTAGGGGCAGAGGCAGGGTTCTGGAGCTCGCCGCACTGAGAAAGCAGCTCTTCCGGGGCTGTAGCATAGGACTCCAGGTGCCACCCATTGCCCTAACAGATGCCCGCTGTCTCCATCGGTGACCTCATTGTCTTCCCACACAGGCTTTCTAGACTGGGTTCCCAAGAAGATGCAGCGTGTGGGCTGTGTGGAGCTGCTCAACACGGTTCAGAGGCGAGTCCAGCCACGGCTGCATGTCTTTGGCCACATTCATGAAGGTGAGTTGGCAGATGGAGAGGGAACCCCCACTGGGGTGCTTCTAACTGGCTCTTCTGAGGGGTTTCTTGTCTTCCTCAAGTCCTCCTCACCAGCTCCCTCACTGACTTCTGCAGGAAGCAGCCTGCTGCTGTGGCCCATGCATAGACTGCCTCACACGCTTGCTGCTTTGGTTAGTGTGGACTTGCTGGCTAGCAGAAGGTGAACTCACTGGAGTGCCAGGGATGGCCACACTGTGGGCAGGTGGCTCACAGTCCTAACTACCCACACTGCCCGCACAGCCCATCCATGCACACCAGCTTAGTCCTCAGGCATTGGTCCTGGAGCTTAATCTCAACTACTGATGTAACCCCGCTGGTCCCCCTCCCCACACTTCTGCTGTTGTTTTCAGACAGGGACCAGCAGGCCTCACAGTCCCATCTGACAGGAACCATGTGGCTGCTTGAGTTGTAATAGGGACTGACACGGCTTGTCCCAGAAGGCTTCACTGGTCACTGACCCTGGCTGTGGTGGGACCAGGGCTTCACACTGTCCACATCTCACAGTTTTCTAACTTGGAAGTAAACAAGCTCTTAACAATTTCCTGAGCATCTCTGCAGTGTCCTTGGAAGTCAAGATAGCAGAGCACACTGGTCCCTGGAGAAGCTCCCTGATTGCCGGGCAGCAGCCAGGCAGCCAAAGGCAGAACATAAGAGCTCGTAGGGCAGCTCATGAGCCCTGAGATTATCATGCTGGTAGTCTTCTTGGACCCTCTTGTGTGCATACAGGGCCAACATATGTAAGGTTGCCTGGGGCCCAAACCATACCCCTACATATGCGTAGAGGCGAAATGGCGCTCCGAACAAGAAAGGGAGAGAGCGTGTCCCTTCTGGTGTGACGACAGTCTGAGCCAGAATGGACCTCAACAAGCAGAGGTGGTGGGGGAGGGCACGTGATTGGAAGACGGGAACATGGCAATGGTGACTGTGGTAATGTGAGGCCGAGGCTCTCAGTGGTGACAAAGATGCTGGTGGCAGTGACACTGAAGACAGCGAGGATGGTGATGTCATGACAGGGCAGTGCTGGCAAGGATGGGGTGTTGGCGATGGTGATAGCAGTATGGTGATTATAACAGTGAGGGTGATGATAGCGATGGTGTCAATGACAGTGGGCATGGGGTGGTAGCGGCGGTATGGAAAAGGATTGGGGCTGAGGAGGAGAACACTCGGTGCAAATGGCAGTGTCGGGGACAGCAACAAAGATGGTAGTGATGTAGCCTAGGTGACAGTGCTGATGATGGATGGTATGGGGATGATGACGCCATGGTGACAAAGATGGCAGTGGTGTTGATGATAACGGCACTGGTGATGTTGCTGGTCGCGAGATGAGGATGTCGTGGTAATGATGGCAATGGCAGGGATGGTGATAAAGATGGTGCTGTTGAAGATAATGCAGCTGCTGATGTTGGTGACGCTGATGGTGGTGGTCATGGGGATGATGACAGCGATGGGACGACGATACGGTGATGTAGCCTATGGACATAGCATCTGAACACACCCGATCATATCTGATGCTATGGGGATACTGGGGACTGTGGAAATCAGGTGACTATTCCTGATGCCAGTGGTCACAGGGAGCATGCTGAGGACAGGGAGCATGGTGATGATGCTGATGGCTAGGAAGACGACATGAGGATGATGGCAGTGACTTACTATGCGCTTTTCCCGTGACATGCATTGCCCTAAGCACTGCATATGGGTGGTGACCTCAGCTGGTCCCCCTGGCAGGCTCAGAACCACCCTCTTAGTATCATTTCCATTTAACAGAGAAGGTTTGAGAGATGCAGTAGCTTGCCCCATGCATGTCCTGCCCATGGTGGAAGAACACAGGTAGCTGCCACAGCCACTAGACAGCTCCAGATCCTGGTCTGACAAGTGTGTGCTTCCTTTCCAGGCTATGGTGTCATGGCGGACGGGACCACCACCTATGTGAATGCATCCGTATGCACTGTGAACTATCAGCCTGTTAACCCTCCCATAGTCATCGACCTCCCAACACCCCGGAACTCCTGACTGCTCCCCACTCCAGCTCTGCCTGCCCATGTCAGCTCCGTGTATCTGGCCGAGAGCCTGGATCCCCTAACCCGCCTCCTCCCATGCAGAACAGCCCAGACGGTCCATCTGGCCATAGGACCAGCCAGCAATGAGTAGAATCCTTGGGATAAAAGAAATCGCCTTTGACTGTCAGCCTTCTGCCACCCGCTGCTGGGGCCTTGAGCAGCCCCATCGGGGCACCGTGCTCACTTCTGTTTTCTGTGTGTCCGTCTGTCCTTCATCGCAGGGCCTCACAGGCTCACAGCCCTCTCTGGTTGGGGAAATGATGGAAGTGTCACCACACTCGATCAGTACCCTCCTGCTCTGAGGAGCCACTGCCCTTGGATGAGTTCTGGGAAGTTTTTATACACATGTCCTGCTACCCAAGTGCATCTCCGTGGCTGTGAGCCCCACGGTTGGGGGGTGTGGCCTGGGCACACACAGCCCTCCCCTGGCTGGAGGAAAGGAGATAGGCCTGCTCCTTGTGTGCAGGGATCTCGGAGTGTTCAGGGACATCTCAGGAATTCCGACAGCCCCTGGCCAGGCCTACAGCCATTGGCTTGGCTTAGTCCCTCTTCTTCCTTAGGACCCTGCTGCCGATGTGGACAGTGGACAGGTGTCCCTAGCTTCTGCTTAGAGCCTGGATCTGGGGGGCTTGGTCCTTCTGGGTGGTTCTTCTGGCTGACTCCTCAATAACAGTGAGGCCATCTTGGGCCCCCTGGGACCACATAACTCTGTAGATCACAACATCCAAGGGGGTTCTGCGGGCTGATCCCCTGTGCCTGGCCATATACATGTCCAATCTGTGTGGCACACACACCCTTCCATTCCTAACCTGGTTCTGTTCGTGTCCACAATGGGCTTCATTTCTTGATGTGATTTTCCCTTCAGAGGATTGTTTGCTGGGCTTGTCAGTACCACCGGTTACCAGGAGGTGGCGCCATGACAGAGCAGCCCTGAGCACTGATGGCAAGGCCACCTGGGGTTGCAGCCTTTCTTGGGTTAGGCCTGGGTGAGCCCATCTGCAGGGGACAGAGCCAGCAGGCCCTGGGGCAGGAGCAGGCAGGGTCAGAAGTTGTCATTATTTAAAATGCTGATATTTGTTCTCTGTGGACTATTTTTGCACTTATTCTTAGTAACACGTCACAAAAATAATTATTATTTGTCCTGACCCTTGCTGTTTTACACCTTCTGTGTCGTTCATCTGACACAAAGGCCTCACTTCCTTGGCCTGGCCCCAGGCTTGGGGACCAGCTATCCTGGTACCTTTCATTCAGTATAATGTTGGTTTATCTATGATCATTCCTGCAAGGTAGGTGGATACTCTTGCCCTGTTAAAGAGAAGAGGCCACTGAGGCCAGAGAGACGAGGTCACTCGCCTGAGGATGTACAGCACAAAGTGGGCAGCAACGAGATTAGGACCTCATCTCTGGTCTCCCAGCCCTCACTGTCACCACCAGAGTTCTCTCCACAAGGCAAGGCATGTGCCAAGACTTTCATTTTAAAGGGTCCTGTTCAAAACTGGCTCGCGTTCATTCTCGATGGAGAGCCCCTTAGACCCTATGGAATTCTGAGCTTTGAGCCTGGTACCCCATCATCGTGTGAGACCCATTTCCAATTCTTTTCCTGCAAATGAATGAGCCAGGCTCATGCGATGGTTCTCTGTAGGTGGGGCTGCATTCCCAGGAGGCCTGTGGTGCTAGGACAGGAGTGCCTCACCGGCTGCAGGAATCCCGGTTGGGCCAAGTGGTTCTTGGTGTGTGGGGACATTTACAAGGCCTCTTCTCTGTGCCTCAGATGCATGGCATGTTTGGGGCAGAGGAAACGCACCTCCCGTGTGCTGTCTCATCTCTACAGTTTCTATGTGGACCAAGAACTATAAACTTTTAAACAAAGGTTTTTCCTAGGGCATCTTCAGAATATGGCATATTTTTATGTGGAGAAGAAAAGCTGTGGAGGCAGCTATCTTTAAGGGAAAATTCATTGGAAGTCCTCAAGATTTGAAAGATGGCGGCCTGCTCCTCAATCATTTTGGCATAACTTGATTGTGGCTGTAATTTTTTTGTCAAGCATGTCAGACAATAAAGTCTTTGTAAAAAGAAAAAGCCGAGTCCGCCTGACTGCTCTTTCTGTGGGTGTCCCTGGGTCATGAGGGGGCAGAAGGAGAAGGAACCCCAAGTTCTAGAGGCTAAAGACACCCCTGTGTGTTGGTGATGACCCCCATCTCCTGTGTGTGCAGGGGCTGCAGAGGCGGTGTCACGGCAGGGCTGTGCTTGACTGAGTGTCTGAGCTCCTAAATGAAGCAGGTGGTGTGTCCCAAGCACTGGCTTGTTCTGAAGGTGATATGGCCAACCAGCCCTAGGCAGACAAAAGGATGGATGGATGGAATGATGGGTGGGTGGCACCCCAGTCTGAGTCTCTCCTGGCTACAAATTTCTACCATTTATACACATCCACTATCCAGCTATTCATCTTTCCACACACTCACCCACTGGCTCATACTTTCGTATGTCCATTCATCTACTCACCCAGCAAGCTCTCCATCCATCCACCATCCACTCATCCATCCACCCATCCACTCATCCATCCACCATCCATCCATCCATCCACCCATCCATCCACCAACCATCCATTCCATCCATCCAGCTAACATCTCTCCATCCACAGAATTATTCATCTATCTATGCATCAGCCAAGCTATCTATCCACACTCATTTGGATCATACACTACTGATGAAACTATTACTTTACCTGACCCCCAGGGTATCCATCCATATCCACCCATCCATCCACCCATCCGTCCATCCATCCATCCATATCCACCCATCCATCCGTCCGTCCATCCATCCATCCATCCATCCATCCATCCACCCATCAAGTTATCCATTCTTCCACTCATCCTATATAACCCACATCGAGCTCTTTATTGATCCAGTCACAACCCTTAGCACCTCCCAAAGGGCCTGGCTTGGCTTACAGAAATGCTGGCAGTGACAGAAACAGATTTGGAAGGGAAGATTGGGAAAGGTAGATAGGGTGACAAAGGCCACGGAGAGCCAAGGATGGCAGAAGATGTGGATGCCAGTGGGAGTGTGGAATTCAGAATGGTGCAAGCAAAAGGCACACAGATCTGTTTGGGCCTCCTGAGCAGGGGGTGACCTGGGGCCATGCAAGGAGGTGTCCTGTGGTCCAGTTGACGAATGACGTGGAGTAGAAGCTTCTCTTGGGACACAATTCTGACACAGTAAGTAAAGCCATGGATCTGGGGCAGAAAGGGCCTGAGAAGTGGCCTAGGACGGGCATATAACAACCTTCCATAAACCTCTCCTCAGACTGCCCAAGGCTTCACAGACCTGCAGCATCCTGCCCCGGAACCTTGATTTCTGAACCGTTGCTCCCGAAAGCCCCGTTTAGTAGGAAGAACCACCACCGACTTCCGCCCATAACCATTGGAGCCACGGTAGCGTTCCTGTACAGGCACGGCCCTCAAAGGCTGCTGCCTTACGGAGTCATCACAATGGAGCTGCTTCAGTGCAGCAGACTCTCTGGGGCACACCTCCCTTCCACCTCCTTTCCTTCTCATTTCACACACTAAGCAAACACTCTACTACTGAGCTGTACCCTGCTGCAGCCCTGCTGAGACGGCCTACAAGAACTCCTCCGAGCAGGTGGATGTCATGTTCTCCTATCTCCTCCTCCTGAGGGCTGACAACACAGGTAACTACCACAGGGCCCTGGGGCTCAGAACTCTGATTCTCTTCTTTGCTCCCATGTGCTTTAAGCACCAAGCCATCTCTCTGGCCTCTTGCTGGTGGTATTTAAAATCCCTATATATTCTCTCCATCTGTGGGTTGGTCTTTCCAGACCCATTCTCAGAGCAAATACTGAACTCTTTCAGTAAGCTCAGTTTGTCCTTTTTTCCTTTCGTTCCATTGTTCTTTGTTGGGAAATACTATTTTCAGGTGTGTTACTTTTGTTTACGCTGCATTTGCTTAACTCTGTGAAGCTGTGTTACTGTGCCTGTCTAAGATGCCTGATCTAGTAGAGCTAAACAGCCAGTAGCAAGGCAGGAGAGAGAAATAGGAAGGGGCTGACAGGCAGAGAGGATAAATGAAGAGAAATTTGGGAGAGGAAGGAGGAAGACTTCAGGGGCCAGCCAATCAGCCACCCAGCCACTCAGCCAGACATGGAGTAAGTAAGAAAGAAAAGGTATACAGGAAGAGAGAAAAATAAAAACTCAAAGGCTAAAGATAGACGAGATAATTTAGGTTAAGAAAAGCTAGCAAGAAACAAGCCAAGTTAAGGCCAGGCATTCATAACTAAGACTAAGCCTCCGTGTGTGATTTATTTGGGAGCTGGGTGGTGCGCCCCCTGAAGGGCCAAAGGTAAGAGCGAGAACACAACAGTTCTTTGGATACTGGTATCATTTGTAACAGGTGTTTCCCAAAGTCTACTGATGGGAGGATATGATCAACCTGTGGCTCTACTGGGAGGCGGAGCCTAGCAGGAGGAAGTTTAAGTTACTGCAGGTTTACAGTCGAAGGGAGTGCTGGGAGCCCATACTCTCCTCCTTCCTGGCCGCCACAAGGTGAGCAATCCTTTCCACCAGGCCCTCCTGTTACGTGTACCACACAGCCGAAAGCAGCCAGGCTGATGGACAGAGCCCTCTGAGACGGTGAGCCAAACTGAACCTGCCTTCCTCAGAAATGTCCCACCTCAGGTAGCGACAAAACGCTGACCGAGGCAGGCGCTGCTTCCAACCCGAGGTCGCGCAGACTTCTCTCAGGCTTTAGCTCTGTTTCACACACCTGTGCGTTCCGGGCTCAATTTTGAATGGTGTGAGGTGTGCTGAGGTTCACGCTCTGTACCCAGCCACTGCTCCTTCATGTGTCAGAATCAGCAGGGTGCATCTGTGTGGGACACTTCTGGGCTCCCCATTTTGCTCCATCTTTTGATGACGTGGTACCCCTAACTACTGTGTTTGTGTGTACACCTTCGGATTAGCCTATGTGAGTCCTCCAATTTTGTTGTTTTTTTTTCCCCCTGCTGATTCTGACACATGGAGGAGCAGTGGCTGGGTACAGAGCGTGAACCTCGGTATTCCTCACACCATACAATTAGCCCAGAATGCACAGGTGTGTGAAACAGAGCTAAAGCCCGAGGGAAGTCTGCGTGACCTCGGGTTGGAAAGCAGCACCTGCCCCAGATTTTGAGGGAGAATACTCCACCCCCACTCCCCCTTTGTTTTCTACACATATTTTTGGGTTAGCTGGCTGCTGTCTACCAAAAACACCCTCTGAGGTCCTGCCTGGGACTGTATAGAAGGCACTACTCAAACTGTGGGGGCTGGAGATGGTAGTTAAGGGCACTTGATGCTCTTGCTGAAGACCAGAGCTGGATTTCCAGAACCTACATTGGGTGGCTTAAAACTTGAGCTACCGAGGATTTGACTTCCTCTTCTGATCTTTGTGGGTATCTGCACACAGGCACACACACACAGACACACAATCAGTCTCGGGGGGAAAACCTAACTGTGAAGATGTGTCCTCACTACCGAGTCTTCCAACTCAGGGGCACCGTGCATCTCCTTGCGCTGTGATCTCTGGTTTTATCAGTGCTTCGCAGTGCAGTCTGCCACTGGACAGGACCACCTGTGGGGTTTTAGGTTGATGTGTTTTACTGGAAGGGCTGTCATAAGCAGTGGTGTTTTTAAACTTCCCTTCCAGTTGTGCATGCTAACTGGAGTGCCAGTGACTTCTAATGACCTGGTGGCACACTGCCTACTTAGTTCTAGGAATGCCGCCTTATTTTCAAAACAGGGTCTCTCCCGAATCTGAAGGTCACCCAGTAGGCTAGGCTGGCTGCCTGAATTTGCAGGGACTCGCCTGTTGCCCCCTCTCCCAGCACTGAGATTCCAAGCACATGTGTGTGTCCAGAAAGCTGTGTCTCCTAATCTGGCAGGGTCTTCTGCCAGCTGTGGTGTTTCGGCCATTCTCCAGTCAGTCCTAATCTCTGGCCATCTGGGGAGAGGTGGTTTCTGGGAAGAGAGAGATGTTCGGGTCTTCACCCTGGCCCTCTGCAGACAGTGGGCCTCATCCCTTGGCTGGTTCTACAGCTGGGTGTGCATGTGACTGCACCTGGTGCCCGACAGTGCCCAGCCCCGTCATTTCCCTGCTTCTCTCTGCGTCTATCCACACCCTGCCGGTCTGCCACCGCGTCCGGTCTCATTTGCCAACAAGCCCGTTGTGCCACTGTGGTTTGCATTTGTAGCGCTTTTCTCGATCCCTTGGTGTTCCTCGCTGCCATGCTCACTCTCTTCCTCTCCCATCCCCGTTTATAACACGCACGTCTGCTCCTTTCACCTTCAGGTACTTTCCAAAATCCACGTCGAATCCGAGCCTCATGCTTGTCTCTGCAGACTGTCGTTTTGGTTGAAGGCTGGGTGTGTGTACCAAGGGGCTCCCACCCTTCCCCACGCAGGGTCAGGGAGTGAATATTCTGGGCTTTGTGGGCCCCCTCAAGTCCTGCTTCCTATTGTTGCCACCCTTTCCCCCTCTCAGCTCCTAAACAGTACCAGACTAGAGTGTCTCCGCTACAGGAAGACAGGAGTTGGCTTTGCATTCTCAGGAGAAACTGGCAGAAGGAACAGCAGATTCTGAGTTCAAGGTTGTGTGAGAGTCCGTGTGGGGAAGACAAAGGCCGAGGCACGGGATGGAATGAATGCCAAATTCTAGGCACATGTGTGAACACCTACAACCCCCTTACTTCATCCTCCACACTGAATTTCAGTAGGTTGCTCAGCAAACACAGGGACCCTTTGGGTTTCTGGGGTTGGAATGGCACGGACCAGACCTCCTATGAGCCCAGTGAGGGAATGCAGTGTATCCCGATCGGATCGGTGTCACGCCGCCGGGCATCTGGCTGACAGTGCTGGGAGCTAGAGATGTGACCAAGTTTAGAAAGTAGGTCTCCCTGCAGAGCTGCTCCCTGGACTCAAGCTACCGGCCGGCTTGCAGCTTTGCTTTCCTCCTGAGAGGGATCCAGAGGCCGTGCCTGACCAGACTAGGTGTGGTCACCAGGTGTTGGGTGCAAAGCAGGTCTTCTGTCGCACCCTGCCAGTCGGACTCCGTGCCTAGTGCTACTGGGAAGAGGGAGGGATGAGGGTACACCCTGCACGGGGATGCTGCCCTGCACCGTCCCCCAGAGGTCATGGGAGGGTCCCACCTTGGAAGAAGTGTGGGACTCAGGAGAAGAGAGCAGGGGCAGGGACACTGTCCTAATTGCTGCTGCTGCATAAACACCATGACCAAAACCAATTTGGGGAGGAAAGGGTTTATTTCATCTTACAGCTCTGAGGTCGCACTCCATCACTGAGGGATGCCAGGGCAGGAACTAGAGGCAGGAACTGATGCAGAGGCCACAGAGGAACTCTGCTTACTAGTTTGCTCCCCATGACTTGCTCAGGCTCAGACTCAGGACCACCTGCCCAGGGGTGGCACTGCTCACAGTGGGCTGGACCCTGTCATCAATCATTAATCAAGAAAACGCACTACAGACTGGCCTGCAGGCCAAGCTGAAGGAGGAAATTTCCCAGTTGAGGTTCCCTCTGCTCAGATGACTAGCTCGGGCCAAGTTTACAAAAAACTAATCAGGATGGCCATGGCCACGGGGCTCCTGATCTAAGGCAGAAGTGGGTGGGCAGAAGCAGCCTTGGCTCTCGGATAATGGTGCAGGGACCATGGATGGGAGGGGGTGCCCTGCAGGCAGTCGTGAACAAACCCCCAAGAACCCCAAGTTTTACAACATTTTATTAGTAGCAGTTCTTTCAAAGTCTCAAGAGTCGTTCCTGCAAAGACTATTTTATTTGCTCATACTAATGAGTGAGGTTGCCCAAGGCCAGCGGCCACCCTGCGCTGACCCAGGGAGGCCCCAGTGAGGGTTGGAATAAGAGCCTGCACGTCTCAGGAAGGAGCCTGATGCTGGGTAGGGTTCGGCTATGAAGCCGCTCTGGGGAATTCGCTGCAGCCCTCCATCGTCTGGTTTTGCTAGTCTGGGGACAGACCCCGAGGCCACAGCTGTCCCCAGCGCAGCCCCGCCTGGGTGCCTACTGCAGGAAGGCACGCAGGAAGTCATTGTAGGAGATCTTGGATGACAGCGACTTGTCGTAGTACTCAAGCACGTGGAAGAACTCCTCCTCCGACAGGTTGATGCTGTACTGCCGCAGCACCTGGGGGCCAGCAGGCGGGTTAGCAGTGGCGGTGGCTGCAGGTGGACGCCCTCATCCTTAATCCTGAGGTTCAGGGTACAGAGGAGCCCTGGCTGAGGATGCTAGATGTCCACCGTCATCACCTCCTTCCTTTTCAGTGGCAGGACCCAGGACACCTTCTCTGAAGGGACGGGGCATGGCTTTTTCTTAATGTCTGGGAAGAGGTGTGGGGGGGGGGGGCTCCAGAAGCCACCTCGGACCATGAGGTGGGGAAGGAAGCTGGGTGTTGAGGGTGGCAGGACAAAACTGGGTCCCTGACCCCACTGCTGAGCCAGCTCTGGAAGTCCCACCTCTAGCCTTCTACATGGGAAGAAAGAGCCTTCCTCCTGCAGCTGCTATTGTCTTATTCCCCTTATAGCCCAGACAAATCCTGCTAGAGTTCCCTGGTAATATGTAGAAATTAGGGTATTATTTCTCCCTGTGGCTCATGTTATCACTCATTCCTAAGAAGAATGGGCTAAAAACATGTCCCAAGAACATGGGTTAAAACACCCCAGGGCCCCAGGACTGAGGGCAGCTGGTGGCCATTGGGCCGAATGGGAGAAAAGCAGAAGGAGGAACCTGAGGCCCCACTCACACCCATGTCCCGCACCTCCAGCTCTGCTGAAGACGTCCCCCTCTTACCGTCCTCTCTGCTAGCCATACCCTGCATCCCCGGGAAGGGGAGGAGAACCCTGATCTTACTGTCTCCTATCTGAAATGGACTGAGACGGACTCCCTGGCTGGGATGATGCTGGCCCCAGCGCGCATGGGAGGCTGGAGTGGCTGAGTGGGTTGTGGGTGGGAGGCAGAGGGTGGCAGACCCAGAGTTACGTGGCACCCAGGATTAGCTGAAGCTAAATGACTCCACTGTGGGGTGGAGTGGGGCTCCCTGTGTAGGAGGCCACTATCACATGCACACTGTTGGGCTGCCCCAACACTCCCAAGACCCTGATAGGACACAGGAGTAGGTAAGGAGCCTAGCAATAGCAACAGTGTGGTCTCAGAGGAAACACAGGTATTGTGTGTGCACACACACACACACACACACACACGCACGCACAAGCCCACTCCCTGGAGTTTCCATAAGTAAGGGGCAAGCAGGCCACGGCCTGGGCCTCCATGGGCAAGTGCAGGGTCTCTAGAGCTTTCTATGCTGCAGCGCCAGGTCGCCAGAGCCACAGAGAGCAGTGTCTCACCTTCCTGAAGTCAGCCACGCTCAGGAGCCCAGTCCCGTTCTTGTCGTAGGTCTTGAAGGTACGCCGCATGGGCCTCCAGCAGTGAACAATCTTGGGCTGGATCCGCAGCAAGGCCGAGTAAAAGGACTGCGTCTCCACGCCGGCTTCTTTCTAAAACCAAGATCAGGGACGCGTTTGGGAGCTGGGGTGGGCCTGGCGGAGGCAGGTAGTTGGGGAATGGAAGCGCAGGGTCTCATTCTCAGCACAGATCCTGGGGCACAGCCAGAGATCCAAGGGAGCATTTGTGGGGAGGTGGCGAGTCCTGGCTGGTGCGGGCAGGGCAGGGTCAGGCTGTGTGTCCAGGTCCACCTGTGCTGACAAGCGAGGGGTGCCTGGTTCATAACCCCACGGTCTCCAGGGCGACACACCTACCATCTTGTCCGCATTCTGGATCCTCATCCTCCGCATCAGTGAGGTCTCCTTGGCCTTCAGCAGGAGGACACAGCTCTGAATGAAGTCGCAGTAGGCGAACTTGCCGTTGTTCTGCAGGTCATACTTGACAAGGAGCTGCTGGCTCTCCTCTTTGCTGATGTCCAGCTTGAACTTCTCCACAAGAGCTGAGGACCAAGCAGCCCAAAGTGTAATTGGTGGGGATTCAGGCATTCTTGTCCTCATTTGGCTACCGGTGGGCTCTACCTAAGAGCACCCGCACAGGTTCCTCCCATCCCCCCCCCCTCCCCGAGCTGGCAGGACAGAGGCATGTCTCCCCAGGGGAGAGTCAGACAGACCCAGGAACTCTGCTGCAGTGACGCTCCCTTGCTTGTCACTGTCCTTCTCCTTGCATTCCTTCAGGAGCTCGCGCCAGCAACCCTGGATCTGCTTGCGGAGCTTGCTCTCAATGGGCTCGCAGTTCTGCAGGGGTGGGGTGCCCGCTGGGGTCTGTGGGGAGGGAGACAATGGGGCGCTCAACTGGAGGTCTCCTGGGGGCAGTCATGGGAACCACAGGGTGGACCTGAGGTCTGAAGTTCAGCTCTGTCGGCGCCAGGAAAGAAGAGGGACCCTACTTCCGCCCACGAGCCATCTTGAAGTCACCCCATAAGAACAGCTTTGGAATTAATACAGCCATGTTGTACTCCTCGGCTTGGGGTTCCTACCCCCCTCAAGGTCAGATGGAGCCTTTCTCGGGCCTACTGCCTCAAAGCTATGCTTATTTCCCCGGATTCCCAGGTTAAAGCCCCCTAGTGCCTCTGGTCATCTCCCCCCCCCCCNCTCTTTTTTTCCCCCCTCCCCCCCCCCCCCCCCCCCCCCCCCCCCCCCCCCCCCCCCCCCCCCCCCCCCCTCCCCCCCCCCCCCCCCCCCCCCCCCCCCGATCTCAGCAGAAAGACCAGCAGCCTAATCATCTCCCTCCAATGTGTGTGTCTAGGACGTGGCTAGCCTTAAGGACTTCCTGCCTCCTTTTCTCCACCACCTCTGACTTCACTGAAGACCACGTTCACTGTCACCCTGAGATCTGTGACACCAGAGCCCCTTTGGGTGGGGACCTTTGTCCATCTGGAGCTGTAGCAAACACCCAGTGCACAGACGGTCTACAGAGACAGTGCCTACCAGGCCCCGCATCTGGGGCCATATTTCTCTAGGCGCATGGTGTAAGCACACAGCAGCTGCCTTGTGGGCACTTAGTGTAGTCTCAGGTGCCCTTCCCTGGAGACACTGCTATTCTGCTCAAGGACAAGGGAGCTCCCCCTCCCCCCCCCCCCCTAGCTGGGGATGACTCAGGGCTCTGTGTCACACTGGGAAACACCCGAGGTTTCACCTGACTCCAGTGTAAACTGGGAATCCATTCATCCGTGCGGGTGGTGCCCAAGGTCAGGAGACTGTCCCTCTCAGAGCCAGGCTTCCTGCCCATGGATGCTGTGCCCCACTTCTATCTCTTCCTTCCCTTATGGCCTTTTGTAGGTTCCCTTTTCCATCCTGCCCCTCACCCATCCTCCTCAAACTGCACCCCGCTCTCCACCCCCACTGGAAATTGACACTAGAGTTCCCCCCAGAATCACGAGCCCAATCTGTCAGTCACCTGCAGTCTGAGGGAGAAACACCCGGCCCGTGTGCATGGATCTGAGGTGACAGGGGACACACATCAGGCTGGGAACTCACACTGGGGTAACTCCTTGATTTCAACCCGGTTCTGGAGCCCTGAGGAGAGCAGAGGGTGGATCTGGTTCCTTGGGAGACCTCAGGGGCACTGCTTCCCCTCTGGGCAACGGTCGAGTCGCCAGAGTCGCCAGCAGCCATGGGCGGCGAGGGTGCTCTCTCGGTGCTGAACCTGCTGAGGAAGTCCTGGTACTTGAGCCGCCCCTTGGCATTGACGGGCATCTCGCTCCACAACCTGTCAAACTAATAGCATTAAGTCAGTCCCAGGGGAGCGTGAACCGAGCCTGAGTCCCTCAGGAGTCCTGGAGGAGTGAAGCCAGAGGTGGCAGGATGTGACTCTGGACCAGGGTTCACGTTAATTTAAAAAAAAAAAAGAAAAAAATCCATTTGGTTTCTGCAGGATAGAAGCCTCTGGAAGACTGTGGGGGGAGAAAAGGCAAGACAAGAGGATTATTCATGGCTTCCGCAGGACATTTTTTAATTGAATTGGGTCCTCAGTGAGCAGTTTAAGGCCATTAAATTTTGTGATTAGTCACAGTGACCGAGCTGTGGTGCATAAAAACATTTTAGGAGAAAATGCAAATCAAACCAGGGCCCCATCTCCATCCCAAGAAAGCCGCCGGCCTCATTCCTCAGCTGTCCCTGCACACCTGAGTCACAGTGGCTCACAGGTGCCACCGCCTCAGCCACTGCCTTAGCCGCCACAATTTATTTCACCCCAAAGGTAAGAAATGTCCCTCTTGCAAGATGAAAAGGAAGCATTTGGAAACCGGAGAGAAGTTTACGGCTTTGTGTGGTGACTGTCTGATGCCACAGACCGTATGGAAACTACAGCATGGGACAAAGCGACAGGCGGCTTTCCACGTGAGCTGCTTTGGATGGCTACAGGGCTTTCAGGGAACCAAGAAGATGGGCTCCTGTCCCCCTACCTGACTGCTTGCGAAACCTCCAGCTGACAGAGCCTGGCTCTCAGCCGCCCCCCGCCCCCCGCCCAGGGCACAGAGGCCAGGAGGCTGGGCTAAGGGACAGTTTCCTGTTCCCCTTGCAGTCTAGAGGTCACCAGAAACTTACTTTCCTCCTGGGTGTCTCCTGGGGTTTACCCAGAGTTAATGACTTAAAGTGACCAACTCTTGGGCTCCGTCTAAAGTCCCCAAAGACTTGCTAGTTGCCATACCAGCCTACTTGTGGGGTTAGACATGTGGGTGCCTCCCTGAGATTAGAGCATCTTTAGATTTGCACCACCCTGACCTGTGCTCAGGCAGGCAGCTGCCATGTGTGGGATTTACAAGTAGGCGTGCGTACCAAGCATATTCCCAGAGGTTGGTGTCTGGAGCTGAGAGGATTGGAAGTCATTGAGAAAATTAAAAACAACCCATGATGGGTAATAAGACTCCACAGAGCTGATGAGCTTGGAGGTGGACTAGCCCAGGGCTTCTCCAGCTCTAGGAAACAGAAACCCCCAGGGAGTCTGCTAAGACCTGCCCATGGGGTTCTGATTCAACTTCAGAACCTACAGGAAAATTTAAAAAAAAAAATTGGAAATATACAAGATTCTGCCAAAAAGCAAGTGAAGTGGGCCAACTCACCTGGGAGGCTAACAGGTTCCCAGTGTTCTGGTTCCAGACCCAGCCCGCACCTTAGAAGCCGTGATTCTCACAGTGTCTACCCATCGGGCCACTGTGTAGACACAGCCTCACCTGCCAGTTGGGATGATCACTGCTGTGCCATTTGGCCGCAGGCCTCCCTCCTTTCCCTCTAGTCCCTATTCTTCCATGGTGTTCTGAGGAACTCTCTCCATCACAAAACCCACATCCTCATGCTCTGGCTGATGCCGCCCCTGAACTCCCACAGCTCCTTATGGTGGGTGCAGAACTGCCTCCCAGCAAGGAAACGTGTAGCAGCATCTCGCAGGCTGGCTTTCTCCTCTCTGTGCCTTCTGTTGTCATCTTTGGCCAAAGTATTCCTAAAGACAAGTGGGGGGGTCCCTGTGAACCCCGATTCTTTGTCCTAGTGAGGTTTCTATGGCTGTGACAAAACACCATTACCGCTCAGTGTTGGACTTAGGTTGGCCACTCAGAAGCAGCTTGGCTGTCTGTGATGCTCCTGGAACCTCATCTGCAAACGGTGTTATCTTAGCCCGTCCCCGACCCATGTTCTACTTGAAACCATCTGCGTGTCCATCTTCCCTTTGTCCTGCTGTGCTCACTCCGCCTCCCCCTGCAAAGCTGATCTCGCAACTAAACACAACAGTAGTGTAACAGCTTCCAGATTGCAGCCTACCGATGGCATTCAAAGAAAGTCACCACACGAGTGTAGGAACAAGCTAAGGCTGACTCTGCCTTCAGATATCAGAACTGTCAGTGCCCATACCTGAATGTGTTAAAATCAAGCAGGAGCATTAGCAATGAGAAATACCCAACTGACAGACATTTGAAATCAGGGGAAAATAAAGTTCCTTGAAACAAAAAATGCAATCATTGAAAAAATTTCGTTAACAGATCACAATCAAAGGCCATACTTCTTAGAAGAAAAATATATGCAGAAAGAAGAAAGGCCTCAAAATGGAGTGGGTAAGGAAAGCAATGCTGAACAAACAGCATTGAGGCCAGTGAGCCACACAGGTTTAATCTGTAGAGAAGTGTTGCAAGACAAAGAGATACCAATAACAATATCATGAAAAGTAAGGAGGCCACTGAATCACAGCAACTCGATATTCTCACAAACCAGAGAGTAAGGGAACCTGGTTTAAAAATTGGTAAGATGTAAGGGTAACAGCCAGTTATTGACGAGGAAAGTATGTAGTTTTTGCCAAATAGGCTAGAAAAGAGGTTTTAAAAAGCTCAATCCAAATTATATCAAGGAAATACATTTTCAAACAACGTAAGGAAATAAGCATGGCAGGAAGCTTAATATTGACAACAGAAATAAATGGAAACAACAACTAATGTAAATGAGCCAAACACCCATGTAAAATGGCAGGGATCATCAGAGAAGATGTTTAAGAATCCACTTATGTACTATTCATAAAGCCTACATGCAAAACGGAAATATCAGGGGTGTCAAAGATTTGAAGTTTAGATAGATATATCAAGCAGACGCTAAATGAAAGGAAGGCTCAGAGGCCACACTGCTGTCACATTAAATAGACTTTAAGATATATCTAACACTGAGTTGCAAGTATCCACATTTCTGAGCCATTGATGGGCCAAGTTAACAGAGAATAGAGATTCTGAGGCTAGAAGTAGCAGCTGGTTTCAATCAGCAGGTGTAGACCGCTTCATAAGGCTCCATTCAAAACACACCATCTAGCTACAAATGAAACATTTATAAAGAATGACCACACATCCAATCTCAGATAATTCTAATAACTGATAAGATCCAGTCTCATTCTCTAATTAAAATCATGTTCATTTATAAGTTAATAACTCTTTAAAAACACATTCATTCAGGAACAAAAAACCACCCGTATTTCTAAATCAAAGGACCCAAGATGGGAATAAGAGACTAGGAGCTCCATTATAATTTTGCAACTATGTATCAAAATTTGGATGCAGCTAAAGTAGTAATTAGACAGAAATGTACAGTTTTAAGTGCCTATTATGGAAGGAAGAGCAGCTGAAATTCAAAGCCTGCATCCAACCTATGCCAAGGAAGAGGGAACAAGAGAGAGGCTGTCAATACAGCAGGAAGTCCGCAGAGCTGAAAGCTGGTCCTCAGAAAAGACTAAAAGCACACGCATGGCTGTAGTATGAGCTGGGGGTGGGGGGAGAGCAAGTGCTGTGTGGTCCAGCTGTGTGGCACATACAGCAAGAAAAGAGGACACAGATTCTATGGTGAGTCAGTGCATGCCAATCCAAAAAGTGAGAAAAAGTGAACAAATTCATGTAAAAACATAAATCACTAAAGTGGATGAGCCTGGGTGCCCTGTAACCATCAGGAAAACACACTGGCAGTTAAAACCCCCTTATGGAAAACTCTGGGCCCCGGTAGGCTTATAAGCATTTTTTATTTTCAGGAAGCTGGCAGCCCAGTTCTGCCCAGGCCTCTCTGACAAAAAGAAGAGTATACAGCCCTAGATTCTACTTACACAGTAGTAGCTTGATTCAAATGAGACACAAGCACAAGAAAGTACAGATGGCTGTCACAACCACCAGCACAATTGTTTTCAGGTTTAGAGGGAGGATGAGGGAGCATGTGCACATATGGGCGCCTGCCAAGGCTACAAGAGGGCATTGGATTTTCTGGAACTGGCATTACAGGCAGCTGTGAGCCACCATGTAGGTCAGATCCCATCCTAGTCCTCTGCATGAGCAGTCAGTGCTCCTAACCACCGAGTCACCTCGCTAGCCATGGAAACACTTTCAACATGGCCTGACCAGACTGTGCTTACATTTGCTTTAAGACCATGCGGTCCATCAGCACAGCTCACTGCCTGAGAAACTGAATAGGCAAAGCTCGGTGTCTATCTTGACACCTATGGGCCTATGGGTTGAAAGGACACCTGCCTGCTGGTCAGAACTGGTCTGAGGTATCAGCTCAGGAAACTGGTTGACAAGTTATTCAATGACTGAATTTAACAAATTTGTTATGCAAAAGCAAACAGAACTTAACTGAAGGTATGAAGTTACAAGTTTTCTTACAACGAAACAAAACAGACATTAAAGACACAACATACCACACAGCAGCAACAATAGAGCAGAATGAAAGGGAGCAGACACCTACAGGAAGAGAGGGAGTCTGGGTCAGTGGAGAGGAAGCTCAACAGGTGCAGTCCAATAAACGTCAAAAGTTCCCCTCCTCCCTCCCCCTGGAGGCAGGAACTCCTGAAGCCACACTGGCAGGGAGCTCTCGACGCCCCTGCCTCAGTATGGGCATCATAGGTATGTAGCACCACACGACTTTCCAGGGGAACCTGTGTGATGGCGCTGGAACACTCACACAAAGCTGAGACTGTGGCAGACACTCCTGACCTGATGGGGCCACAAAGACCGGGTGCTGGCTATTTACAACGTGGTGGAGCACAGTGGAGTTGGAGCAGACCTCCGTGAAAGAACAGTTGACAGACAGCTCTGGCACTGAAGATGAGGAGGACGAGTCCCCAGGACTATGCAGCCCCACTTCACATAGGTGGACAAACAGGTGCTGCCTACATGGCAGGAATAGAAAGTGAAAGCTCCGAAAACTTGAGAGAAGACCAGCTGATGATGTTCCTGTACCCTCGGGTAAGGTGAGGATGGCTCAACCACAGCAGGAGTGAGCTGTGCGTGTGGGGTCCACTCAACTGCAGTGATGTAGTGTATAAAAGAATACACACGCATATAGTGTGTGCACACATATCCACATATGTACTTACACACTCGCACATACACACATATGTACATACGATTCACATTCAGCTCCTCCCCAGCTTCTCCTCAATGTCACTGTGGTTGTTGGCTCTTTTCTTCTGCTCTCTCCAGTCCCTATGACTTCTCAATCTGTTGTTCCCAAGCTCTGTCTGTCCTTGGCACCCTGAGCCTGAATCTTAGCCTCTTAGCCATGCCCTGTCCACGTTCACCTTGCCCATCCTGCCCCAGCCTCAGCCTTGGGCACTCTTCTCGACAGCCTCACATGGATAGTTCGCCTTGAACCTCCTTACTCCGCGCTGCCCAGTACCAACACCTAGCTCCACGGCCACTCACAGACACCGGCACACGCTGTGGGATTCAGCTCAGACACCCTCTGTCAATGGTCTGCCCTTGATCCCTGCCCTGCCCTTCATCTCTCTCCACATAGCAGCCAGAGGGCCCCTGTTTAAAGCCACCAATCAGGCCAACTGGCATAGGATAGGGACAGCCCTCTCACCTCCTGAGTGAAGACAAAATGCTCCCACTTGGCTCCTGTCCTACAGGATAGACTCCTGTAGGGAGTCCTGGCCTCATCTCCTCAAAGCACTGGTCATCTGCCAATGGTCCAATCCCATCACAGTTCTGTAATCCATGTCCCTCCTGTTTCCTGCTAACCCTACCTAGTAGCCAGGTTGTCCCTTTGAGGCTACCTGCTCAGAGAGTCTCCCTAACCCTACTAGTTACAAGCATGGCTCGCACTCCCTGTCTGTACTCTTTTCCTTCCCTTAAAGAAACATACAACATCATCACTGTCCAAGAGACTGTTTTACTTAGTATGTTTACTCTCAAAGTTCTCCGAGATGCAGACCCTTCAGGGACAGGGTGGGGCTGCTTTGCCATCCAGCTGCTGGCAGCAGGATTAAAACCTGCTGTTCCTGGTTCAAGCTGCTCCTGTCTGCACTGCTCTCTGTCTCTGTGGGATGGCATCCTGTTGTCAGGGAGACCACGGTCCCCTGCAGGTGCCTGGTCATGGCCTCTCAGCTCCCACAGGCTCCTTCCCAACAGGCAGCAGCCTGCACTGCTCATATGCTCTGCTTCATTGGCCTCTGATGTCCCTCCTCTGCTGTGATGATTAATACTGCCAACTGGACAGGACCTAGCATCACCTAGGAGACGAACCTCTACACATACCTGTGTAGAGGCTTCTGGATTAGAATAAGTAAGGAGGGGAGACATATCCAAAATGTGAGCAGGGCCATTTGATGGGTTGGGGTTCTGGGCTGAATAGAAAGTAGGAAGTGACCAGCAGCCACCTCTCTCTCTGCATGCTGGCTGTGCATACAACATGGCAGCTGCCTCAAGCCTCTGTCGCCATTGCATCCCCATCATGACAGACTTTGCCTTCCCACTGAGAGCCAGGACAAACCCCAAACCCTCCCTTCCCCATGGTGCTTCTTCAGGTGCCTTGTCACACAGCAACAGGGGAAACTTTTCTGTTGACAGAGCCTAGTACCAGCACTCACACCTGAGTGGGCTCTGCTGCCTCTGGGCATTTGCTGCCCATCAAGATGGGTGACTATGTTCCTAGAAACTGGCTCGGAGGCCAAGGCTATGATCAGGAGACCAGGGGCATGGGAAATGGGAAAGAGAGGAGGATGGAAGGGCCAAGTGGGACTGGGAAAGGCCTCCCTCTGCATCTGGAAGGAGGAATAGACAGTGAGAGATGCAGGGGCCAAGTCCTGGCAGAGGCAAAGAAGGCAGCTGGCCAGGAAGCAAGGGTGCCAACAGGGCCCAGGGGAAGGACCAGAGAAAACACAGAGATTCCAAATGACTGTTCTGAGTCACACAGCTGGACAGGTGCACAGCTAGCAAAGGCGCACAGCTTGCACAGGCACACAGCTTGCACAGGCGCACAGATGGATAGGTGCACAGCTTGCACAGGCGCACAGATGGACAGGCGCACAGCCGGACAGGTGCACAGCTTGCACAGGTGCACAGCTAGCACAGGCGCATAGCTGGACAGGTGCACAGCTGGACAGGCGCACAGATGGACAGGCGCACAGATGGACAGGTGCACAGCTTGCACAGGCGCACAGATGGACAGGCGCACAACTTGCACAGGCACACAGCTGGACAGGCGCACAGCTAGCAAAGGTGCACAGCTGGACAGGCGCACAGCTTGCACAGGCGCACAGATGGACAGGCACACAGCTTGCACAGGCGCACAGATGGACAGGTGCACAGCTTGCACAGGCGCACAGCTAGCACAGGCGCATAGCTGGACAGGTGCACAGCTGGACAGGCGCACAGCTTGCACAGGCGCACAGATGGACAGGTGCACAGCTAGCAAAGGCGCACAGCTGGACAGGCGCACAGCTGGACAGGCGCACAGCTTGCACAGGTGCACAGCTGGACAGGTGCACAGCTAGCAAAGGTGCACAGCTGGACAGGCGCACAGCTGGACAAGTACACAGCTAGCCCAGGCGCATAGCTTGCACAGGCGCACAGCTTGCACAGGTGCACAGATGGACAGGCGCAGCTTGCACAGCTAGCACAGGTGCATAGCTGGACAGGTGCACAGCTGGACAGGCGCACAGCTGGACAGGCGCACAGCTAGCAAAGGCGCACAGCTGGACAGGTGCACAGCTGGACAAGTACACAGCTAGCCCAGGCGCATAGTTTGCACAGGCGCACAGCTTGCACAGGCGCACAGCTTGCACAGGCGCACAGCTTGCACAGGCGCACAGCTTGCACAGGCGCACAGCTTGCACAGGCGCACAGCTTGCACAGGCGCACAGCTGGATAGGTGCACAGCTTGCACAGGCGCACAGCTTGCACAGGCGCACAGCTTGCACAGGCGCACAGCTGGACAAGTGCACAGCTAGCAAAGGCACACAACTTGCACAGGCGCACAGTTTGCACAGGCGCACAGCTAGCACAGGCGCACAGCTTGCACAGGCACACAGCTGGACAGGCGTACAGCTAGCACAGGCGCACAGCTGGACAGATGCACAGCTTGCACAGGCACACAGCTGCATAGGCGCAGAAGCCTGAGTTGTTTCATTACCTGCAAGCATCATTCTCACTTTGGCAGGGGTGTCTGTTTGGGGACAAAATCGCATATAAATGTTCAGAGAGACTCCTTCCTGTTAGAGATGCTCTCTTTCTCTGGAAAATCGATTGCACCCACAGGCTTCCAAGTCATATCTCTTCCCCCACTCACAACCTCTGGAAGTCAGGAGAGCTGGACTCCTTTGAGTGTGAGACAATGCAGGTGAGCCAGACCATGGGGACAAGATGGCAGTTAAGTGGTAGTTAGTACTCCGGCACCATCCCAACACACTTGGCACAGCATGCTGCCCCAGGGTGCAGCAGAGATGGGAAAAGCCCTGTCAATCATACCAGCACCAGATGATGACAGATGCACAGGAAGCTGGAGCTGATTTTAACAGCAAGAGGGACAGGAAGCTCACGCCGATGAAAATGGTGTGGTTCACAGCTGTGATAGCAACAGCTGCTCCTGTGAGTTTCAGTACGATTTACTACAAAATAAGACCTCAGTGAGGCACGGAAGCTCATGCAGGCACTCCTGGGACTGGGGAGGCTGAAGCAGGATGATCAATGCACGTTTAAGGTCAGTCTGGTCTACAGACCAAGTTCCATGTTATTCAAGACTATATACTGAGAGCTTATTGAAGAGGAAGCGGGGAGAGGAGAAGGAAAAAGGGGAGGGAAAGAGAGGAGGGGGAGAAAAGGAGGAGGAAGAAGTAGAAGAGGAGGAGGGGTAGTGAAAAAGGAAAAAGAAGAAGGACAAGGAGAAGAAAAGGGGAAGTGGGTAGGGGTGGAATTCTTTGCTCCCACAACTGCTTGTGGGGCAGCCACCGTCCTACCTGCTCGTCCGTCAGGATCTGCACATGGCGGGTGCAGACAGATCTGAACTCATCTCTGGAGACTGTGTTGCTCTTCATGGTATCAAAGTTCTCAAACTCCTGGGCGATGGCATGGTAGTGGGAAGCCACTGCCTTGTGCACTCGTGCCAAGATGTCTTTTTTGGCTACTTCTTTGGGAGATGTAGGGGGTGAGACCTTGGGCATCTTCTCTGCCCACTCATCAGCAGTCTGCACAGAATGGAAAGGAAATTGATCCGCTGAGTAAACAGTAGGTACCTTTTGTCTCTGGGTGCAGGGAGCATAGCTTAATAGGGTAGAGAAGAACATATGAGTCACAATTTCTGATGACAGGTCAGCCCAGATGTTTGGAAGCCTGGGCTCGCTTGCCATGAAAATGGTCTCCAGGGTAGCATTCTGCCCGTGGAAGGTGGGTTGTGGAACATTGAGAAGACCCAGGAAGGGTTCACTTAACACAGGAAAGGGTTAGGGAGAGGGCTTAGTTGGTAAAGTGCAAACCACAGAAGGTTAACAAAAGAACTTCTGGATCCCCAGAAGCCTGCAGAGGTGACTGGAGCTGTCCATGGTGCTGGGAAGCCCAGCAGAGAGATGCTCAACCTGAGCCAAGATCAGGGACTTCCCAGACCAAGGCCAAAGGAACTTTATGAGTAGGCAAAGGGCTTGCAGTGGAGACCTGAGGGGGGGGGCTAAACCCCACCTTCAGTGTCTGGCACTTCACTAGGGGTATAGATGGACTGGAGTGGCAAGCAAGGGGCCAGGAAAACTCTCAGTTTATTTGGAGCCAGCCAAACCAGGTCTCTGTGGAGACTGGTCACCATGATGCAGCCAGGCTTGGGAGACCCAAAGGGTCAAGGTGTGTGTTAATAGAGTCTTCCACCTCCTGCAAGGTAGGAGACAGCTTTGCAAAGTACCTCCTTGCAGAGTGAGCCAAACCTCCTAACGCTAGACCTGGGGGAGGGAAGTTATGGTCTGATGGTAAAGACCCGGCCAGTGATAACCCAGTGGTGAGAGAATCCAAGATATCCAGCGCAGGAGCACTGGCCGTGGTCCTGGCCCCAGTGCCAGCCCTGGCCCCGGGATGTCCTGACTGATGGGACTCATCATGACCGTGCTTTGATTCTGGCTCTTACTGTGGAACCACGGCTGTGCTAGACATCCAGCAGGCTTAGACAGCAGATCCTTATAATGAGTAGTCCAACTTGGCCATGCTTTAAATGATCTCACAGCAATGTCTGCACTCTGTCACTGTCTAGCGACATGTTTTATGAAACTGTAGCAAACCCCAGCAGCAGCTGGGAGTGTCCTTGGGAACACAGACACACATTTCCACTTAGATCCCAGCCCTCTCACACACCTCCTTGAAGTCATTTGTAAGATAGAGAAGCATCTTCTCTCACTTGAGAAAAATCAAAGTGAAATCACTGGTGTGTCACATGCCTTTCAGAATTCGCACGGTTGGAAGTGTGAGTCCCAGGGCTCAGGATATCCTAGCATCCTTATCCTTCCATAGTGGGTCAGCATCCAGGGGCCAGAGGGTACCCTCCTAGTGTTGAGTCCTGCCTCTAAGTCCAAAAACACACCTGAAACACTGGGAGGGGGGAGCAGCTCAGTGTGGGAGAAAGGCAGTCCCATGGCTGGCTTCAGCTTGACTCCACCTCTGCCTGACAAGGAGAATAAACAAGTAGCTTGCCTACTTTTGCCTGTTTCCTCCTCTCCTGGGATGGAGGTGGATAAAACTGACCTGAGGTAATGACTGTGAGGTTGGTTCTCTCCCACCTCTACAAGGTAGTCATGGATTCTCCAGGGTGGGGCAGGATCTTTACCATTTTTACCCACTGCCTGTCCTTTGTAGCTGGGCTTCATCTATTTGTTCTATGATTTCTCTATGTAACCCAGGCTGGCCACAAACTCAGCATCTCCATGCCTCAACCTTCTCCATGATGGAATGAGAGACACCTGGCCTACCTTACACATTTTTTTTTTAGAAGAGCCACCATTTGAGATAAGACAAGAAGATGAAGAATAAGACACATTGGCTAGAAAGTCTCCAAACAACTTAGGAAAGTGGTCCAATCTGAGCTAAAACCTGCTTTTGAAAAGCAGTAGCCATGGATGGGTTATCAGTTGAAGTGAGGAGAATCCCACATCACATTAAAGGCTGGCCAAACACACAGGTGAGATCCCGAGAGCAATGGAGCCTTTTGAGGGAAACCTGCATCTACTGAGGCAGGGATGGATGGAGAGCAAGGCCCTGTTCCTGATGGAAAGAGTCAGGTGCAAGCCGCAAAGACCCTTTCAAGTTCTAAGAAAACTTCTCTGGGCCCTGGGGAGACGGCTCAGCGGGAAAGCACCTGCTGCATAGACCTGAACTAGATCCTAGGTCTTACCCTATAAAGGGGACAGGGTGGTGTGGCTCTGCAATTCCAGCCTGGGGAAGGGGAGACAGGAGCATCTCCGGGGGGTTCATGGACCAGTCAGCTTAGACTAATGGAGTCTCAGGCCAGTGGGAGATCCTATCTCTAAACAAGGTGGTTGGCCCCTGGGGAATTACAGCTGAGGTTGTACACACAACCATCTATCTCTCTCCCTTCATCTCTTCCTCCTCCTTTCCCCACATACCCTTAATGAATATATGGGGAAGGGGGTGGGACTCAAAAACATTTTGCCAACTACACTGATGATAAAAATATGCAGTCATATAGTTTTAGGAAAGGCTAGCAATGGGGGGGGGGTCTGACCCAAAGATACTGAAGTTGGCTGTAACTATGGTCTAGGGAGAATCATGGAGCTTGGCTGAGACATCAGCTCTGCCTACCTGTGATGGGAAATCAGCCCCCTCCATGGAGCCTTTGATCAAGAGGCCTGTTGGCCACAATGTCACCGCACTAGACAGTAGAGTGGCTGCCTTAAGTAGATGGCCCCGGGGTGAGGGGCTGCGACTCACCAGTTTCCTCAGAGAGACTCCTCTCCCCGGAACACCACCAGCAGAATGGAACCCCTATCCCCAGCCCCAAGGCCTGGAGCCACCTGATCCCACATCCAAAACACTCATAAACCCTATCAGCTCAGCCCGTTCTCACCTCACCGTGACAGTCTCTTGTACCCATGTTTGGGCATGCTCCCCTGAGGAGGCTCTTTTCTAGAAGTGACTATCTAATAAAGACCAGATCCTCAAGGGCTCCTCAGAACCCCCAGGACAAGAGGCCAGCCTCACAATGGGCTCCTGCATTCTGTGACCTCACTTGCTAAGAGCTCCTGCTACCTGCTCTGGGAGCCTGTGTACTCTCTGTCCCCTTTCTTCCTCCAGTCTGTGGCATCTCAGAGACCCATCCATGTGTCCCGTCCCCTGATGGTTTCCTGTCACACTTGTCTCTGACCTCTACACTCTTTTTACTTTCTCACTCTGGCAGACGAACTTCACAGATAGCAAGGGTTCCATCTCTCTTTCCCGGGGAGTGAGTCCCTAGAGGTCAGGGGAGATGGCGAGGCACCATGGAATCAAGGAACAAACAGCAGACACTCAATGATGCCAGTGCTGCCAGTGGTACAGTGATGGAGGGGGCAGGATTCTGCCTGCCCTGAGTGGTGGTCATGGATCAACTGTCTGGAGGCAAAGAGATGGAAATGACAGCAAGAGCCTGCTTTAGCCAACTATGAGCTCTGGCCATCTCCACGCTGGAGAGGAGAAAGAGCGTTATGGAGCCAGAAAGCATCCTGGTGGCCAGCCCTAGCTCGCCTGGCAGTCTCCTTAGAAAATAAACTAGAACAAATGAGCACAGTTTCTAAAGCAAAGCCTTGGCAATGACCACCAACTTTAGGCACATGGTTAGGGAGAGTGTGCTATTTTTATAGATGGGCTACAGTGCAGCTGCTAGAAGGTTCCAAGGGAGAACTTAGCCAGAAAGCATCAGTAATGGAGAAGGAATGGAGAAAGACCACAAGGTGGCTGCATAAGGAATGGTCACACCTGTGCACACCTGTGCATACCATGACGTACACTCCACATGCCTGTAGTCTGAGCGGCGGTGACAAGGCAGGGTGCTGGCCAGACTCATGTCATCTCTGATGTTATCAAGTTCCTCTGCTGTCCATGTGTGCTGTTCCATCCAGAAAGCAGTGGTCAGAGTGAGTCTCAGGGTCTGGGGAGTGGGTGACACCCCTGCCGGAGCCATCCACTTAGGCTGAAACTGCCATCCACAGGGACTGGAGTAGGCGGCACTTACTGATGATATCTGTGGCACACCTGTGTTACCTGGAGACCCAGGTAAAGAATGGCTCTCCAGGCTCTGCTGACATGGAACTTAGTGTCCCAGGGGAGAGAATGTGGCCAAGTCCTCCAGGTGAGGGGGAGGCCCTTTAAGAAGGGGCATGGCTGCCTGTGTAATGCCCCTCCTGACACTGTCCTGAAGGCACAGAGCCGGCAGAGCAGTACTCATAACCCAGTACCAGCTAAGCATGTCCCTCCTGCAGCTGCAGAGTCGGCCACTCGCTGGGCTGATGGCATCATTCCCCTCTCAGCTAGAAGGGGGAGGTGGGCAAAGGGAGGACCTTAATGCTGTCCAAGATGTTCAGGGTCTAAGATGGCAGAAAAGGCAGTAAGGAGATGGAAACCTCGCGCTGACACGGCAGTTCAACCTGCAGTTCCACTGAGGTCATTCAGAAAGCACAGAAATCGCACAAAGGAAGGTCACTGAAAATCCCACCCACTGGGTCAACTACTGTCACCACCTCTAAACCACCACAAAACCCTGGCATGATGGTCCTCAGGCCACTGTGGCAATCACTGTGGCACTGTTGCCCCCATATGTGAGCCAACATCTCCCAGAGATCCCATGCAACCCTGGCGGCAGAGCTAGGCTCCCTCGGGCTTTGCTCAGTGCCTGCTGGGCTCCAGCCCCCAGCTCCCACTGCCTCTCAGCTCAACTCCCAGCAGCCTCACTGAGCACCCGTGGGCGCCAGGGAAGAACAGATGGCTCCCGGTCTGGCGCTTTTGTGTCCCATATGAATGGGGGGAAATTGTGCTTTTTCTCTATAACTAAGAGGAATGTTCTTCCTAATCAGAGAAGACACTGCCATCGTCTTCAGATGCAAAAACCTTCCGCCAGCATCCAGCTTTACTGTAAAGGTGCCTGGGAATAGGAATCCGTGCAGGGAACAAAGAGGAATGTATATGTGTGTGTGTGTGTGTGTATACACATGTGTGTGTGTAT